AAGTTTAACTGACCCAACAAGAACCGAGCCAACATGAACTGAGCCAATATGAGCTGAACCCACAATAACTAAACCCACAAGAATTGAGCCTACAAGAACCGAGCCAACATGAACTGAGCCAACAAGAACCGAGCCCACAAGAACTGCACTAATGAGAACTGAGCCAACAAGAACCAAACCAACAACTACTGAGCCAACAAGAGCTAAACCATCAAGAACTGAGTCAACAAAAAAGAACCGAGTCACCAAGAACTGAGCCGACAAGTCCTGGCTACAATTTAGCTGATTTTAGCATCTGTTTTGTTACTTTTAGCTACAGTTTTGCCAAATTTAGTCTGTTTTGCCACTGTTTTGGTAATCTGAAAACCTGTTTTGCTAATTTTGCTACAAGTTTACCAATTTTATCATTTGTTTGGGTACTTTTAGCTTCTGTTTATCCAATTTTAGCTTTTCTATTGCTTTTAGCTACATCTTTGCCAATCTCAGCATATATTTAGCTAATTTAGCTACATCTTTGATTATTTCAGCATCTGCTTTGCAATTTAACATTTTTTCCTCATCCGTTTAAAAATGTTTTACTACTATTGTGCCAATTTTAGAAACAATTCTTCGTGATTTGTTTCAACTGTTTTGCTCATTTTAGCAATTTTGAAATGTTGCTGCCACGAAATGTAAGGCACTTAAAGTGAAGTGGTTAAGACTTAACTGAAACTTCTTTGTTCCACAGAGAGGAAAGCATCATAACATTTACCAAAATAAAAGTGAGTACTTGTAGAAAAACTGATTTTATATCAAATATAATTTAATGTTCACCAGTAAAGCTACATAATTGATATGAAATTTAAAAACGACCCATTTTTCTGCAGCTTCTTTGAGCAGATCCAACAACAAACGCTGAAAACAAACACCCCCGCCGCCAACCCTAATCCAGATTTATAAAGTCCTGACCTCCTGCCCAGTTCATGGCTCGGCTGCTCAGACTCTGGTGTATAAACGTCTCGTTTCTTCGGCACAACAGAACATCCAGGGCGGAAGGACCTCAGATTTTGATTTCCAATCATAAAAACAAACCCAGACTGAGGAGGAAACTGTAAAGATGCTTCTCTGTGTCGGAAATAAAGACCTGCAGACGACTTCCTGCCTCTACGGCAGAACCTTCCAGCCTCTACGGCACCAAACTTCTGTTTATTCACAAACGAACAGCAGGATTCCGCTCCAACAACATGCTCTCCAAGAACCAGCAGATTCTGAGCTTTCATTCGGCGTCTGGACGCCCAATTAGCAGGTAATCCTGGAGTCCATTCATGGACCGGGTTACACAACCAGCCTCTGGGGTTCTGTACTGACCGATCGTCCCTTCTTGATCAGAGGGGGTTTGGGGCGCCCGATGAGGGCAGCCCTCAGCCCCCTGCCCGTTAGCCTCCGCCCCGCCGTCCCGCTGCCGTCAGGGAACCAGGAGAGGAACCATCCTCCGGCGGCTGATCACGCAGGCAGATTACCCTCGAGGGTTCCCGTCTCCTCTCCTGAAGTCCGTCTTCATCGTCCAGAGAAAACCCCGAAGTCCCAGAGACGACCCGAACCGACAACAACACCAACAGGTTGAAGCAACCGGCTAATCTCCTCTAAACTCACACTCTGACCAGACTGAGCTTAATGATAATCCACAGCGTACTCAGAATAACTCAGTGCTTCATTAACGACTAATCTGAATATTTTCACTCACTGAACTAAACGTATGTGTGTCCAGAAAACACATCCTGGAGATTAAAATGTTTCTTTAAGAAAAACAACAAAAAAAACAAGCCTGTAGTTTTATTTTAAACTTACGATTTAGGATAAATTACGACATTTTAATGTTATTTCTCCTCATTTACGACTTAATCCGACTTTAACTCTGCCTCTGTTCTTAAATAACGTGTGCATTTGCATTTTTACTCCTAAAATATTTGTCTTTATCAGATTGATTTTATGCTGAGCGTTGAATAATCTAATAATCATGACAGGTTATTTTACGAGTTTCCTAAAGTGCAGACGGTGCGTTTAATGACTAAATGAAAAAATCTGAAAAAAGGACAGTTTCTTTTTAAACTTTAAAAATTCCGATAAACGTTTATTTATTTATTTTACAAACTTATCGTTTCAAAGGAACTTTTCCAGGATTGTGGAGTTCCTGTCAAAGAACCACAGGAACTAAACCACATTAGACCCAGAAGGATCCAGAACTGAACCCCCCGCTGGGCTTCTTTAATCCTCTCAGTCAAAGTTTAAATGATACAAATGTGTCCTCAAAGGTCAACACTGTCCTCCACCAGATCTGCTGGCCTCATCAGGAGCTCCAGGACCCATATCATACATATGTTTATTAATTTTTTATACTTTAAAATGTTTTGTTCAAGCTCTTATTTTGAAAGTCTATAAACCACGTTGTCCTGTTTTGGTCTGTTGTCCTCGTCTTCTGGTGGACTGGAGGGTACAGAATGCTGCTGCACGCCTTTTAACTGGACCACGAAGGTTTGACCACATTTCTCCAGTTTTAGCTTCCCTGCACTGGCTGGCCGAACATTTTAGAATTTTAAATTTATTTTATTTGCTTTTAAAGCTCTAAATGGACTTGCCCCACACTATCCGTCCGAGTTGCTACACCCTCTCGATCCCTCAAGTCATGTGATCAGCTGCTCCTGAGTGTGCTGAAGACTAAGAAAATTTAATAAAATGTAATGATTTTAATCGTTTGTTATTATCTGACTGCATGATTGTTTTATTGTGTACAGCACTTTGGTCCTGTGGTTTAAAGTGCTCTAAAAATAAAGCTGGCAAAAAGAGCAAAACGAGGTAAAAATATCAATATTGTGTCAACGTTTAATGTTAGACTTTACATTTTAGTTTGAAGCAGCGAAAAAAAGTAAAAAAAATAAAATAATAAAATCCTAAATTCTTATAAAACAGCTAAAATGTGCCAGAGAGCCGAAAGCAGCTCAGGTTTTGCTTCTTTGACCTCAATTGTGTTAAAATCTCTTGGAACAAAATGTTTTTAGACAAACTGACTTTAGTTAGTTAATTTTTTTCACCGTTATGTTTTAATTTAGTTGATCACAAAAATAAAAATATTATATTTGAATGATTTTAGACCATCATTATATTTTAGCTCCATGCTGCAGTACTGAAAGTGACCACTAGATGTCAGTGATGGACCAACGCTGAACCCTCCTGCTGCCATCGGGTCACTGTTGGTTTGTGGGTCATTTTGATCCAAGGGCAGCAGGAGGATTGAATATTAGGGTTGAAAACGTTTAAATTAACTCAAAGTAAGAGCAGAATCCAGCTGAGGAGAGACGACTGGTCCTTCAGCTCGTTCTGATCCGATTATTAAACTGTTTGAGTCCAACAGAACCGGGCTGTTCAGAACAGCAGCGCCCAAACGTCTCAGCTGTGGACCTACAAATAAAAGCGAACGATGGACGGTTGAAGTAAACAATGTTTTAACAAGAAGTCTCATAAATGAGATTATTTTGATAAATTTGTGACGTTTTGTTTCTTTAAAACAGCTAAAACTTCGTGCTGGTGTTTCATGACCCGGCTTTAGGACCCAGGTTTACAACCCGACCCGGATCCCACAGGATCAGAGCACAAAGCTTTATTTACTGTTTAGTTTTTAAAGTTTTAAAGGAAAAACTAAAAGTTAAACTCATTATTTATGGCAGCAGCACTAAAACAAGAATATAATCTGAGACAGATTTTAGCTCTTAATCCTGAGTAAATATGGCCGCCCTGTCCTTCCTGTCTCGGTCTACATCCTGGTCTCTGTGAGGTCAGGACCTTCAGGACCGCCTGTCTCGGCTGCTGCTGGTTCCCGACCCGTTTACCTCTTTCTGCTGCCGCTCCAGCTCCTTCATCCGGATCTCCCGGGCCTCTGCTCGGGCCGCCCTCTTCGCTGCTAGCCTGGCCTCGGCCTGAGCGGAACCAGAAACAAAAACAAAAGGAGACGTTAGTCGGGTCGAACCGGGCCATGTTTATAAACACAGACAGAACCGTGAAGTGGGTTCCTCGACAGACCTGCTGTCATGTTTCCCTCTGTTACAGAAAAACTGGACTTGGTCCAGGTGAGCGGACAGGGTTCGATTTTCTAAATCTGACCAACTTTTCTCCACTCGGGTCAAACCGGGCCTTCTCATTGTAAGAACCTCTGTCGCAGTGTGTGTGTGTGTGTGTGTGTCAGGGTGTAATCATTTCCTTCCTCTAAATTTGTGGCGTGGCAGCAGAACTTGTGGCTCGAGGCGCGGTGACTCTTAACCCCACCCCGGTTCAGGAGTCAGGCACCACACGGGACATGAAGGTGTCCGGTCTGGGTTCTGAGCGTTCATGCAGGAAGTTCAAACAACTGATTTAATGTCGGTAATAAAATCTAAACTCTGAGCTCTGCTCAGGTTCTGGAGGAGTTCCTGAACCCGAACTGACACGGTTCCAACAATTAAAGTTTTACCTTGTTTTTAAAATAAAATTTAATTTCTAAAACATTTAAATCTAAACTCTCATCCAGAAAGTGTGGGAGACTCTGGAGATGATCTGAAGCGTTAACTCTCAGACGGTGCGTTCACTGTTCACGACAAGTTCAGGACATCACAGCATCTATTAGCACCGTGCACGACTGTATGTAAAGTTTATAAATCATAAATCCAAGCGTCCTTCAGTGCATAGCAGCCGAACAGTTCAAAGCTTTCAGCTCAGAGGACATCTGGGTGAAATTCAATTATATGTTATTAAAAGAGCACAAATATTTGCTTTTTTTAAATTATTTAATTTAACAGGAATGTGACAAAACAAACATGACGAGAGGTGAAAATGCAAATAAAAACATAAAGCTGAAGAACGGGTCAGACCGCTTTATTTCTTTGACGTTTCCTGCATTAATGATTAAAGTAAACCCGGCTGATGTCTGGTTGATAAATTTACAACTTCTTTGCAAACTTCACTCGATAAAGCTGCTCCGCTGAAAAATAAAGTAATCAATCAGCGGAGACTGGCTCCTTGATTCAATTCTGAGTTACGTACTTTAAAACGGACTTCTAGAAAGCTGGAAAGAAAATGACATTCCACTAATGTTGAATAATTTTACTTAACTTGGAGCGATAGCCTGCTAACTTATAAAAAAGCGCTCCATAAAGCTAGACCTTTATATTATTCATCAGTCATTCGGCTGAAGCGTTTAACTCTCAGACGGTGCGTTCACTGTTCACAACAAGTTCAGGACATCACAGTGTCTGCTAGCACCGTGCACGACTGTATGTAAAGTTTATAAATCATAAATCCAAGCGTCCTTCAGTGCATAGCAGCCGAACTGTTCAAAGTTTTCAGCTCAGAGGACATCTGGGAGAAATAAATTTAATTTTTTATGTTATTAAAAGAGCACAAATGTTTAAATTTAAAAGGAATGTGACAAAACAAACATGAGAGGTGAAAATGAAAATAAAAACATTTTAAAGCTGAAGAACGGGTCAGACCGCTTTATTTCTTTGACGTTTCCTGCATTAAAGATTAAAGTAAACCCGGCTGATGTGGACAGACGGTCCAAACCATCTGTCGATTCAGGAAATAAACGTTGTGCTGCGTCGATCTGAGCAGGAAGTGGTCACCAGCTGGAGCGAGGTTCTGACTCGGCGTTGAGCTGCATCAGTTTGGTGACACCAGCCACGCCCAGCCGCAGGGACACGTCTGACAGTAGCTAAAATAAACATTGCTCTGTAAAACAAAACCAGAAAACTGGTTCCAGCTCCGGATCCAGCAGCTGTAGAACCTCCGTCAGCAGCAGAACTTCTTTCGAACAATGAGGGTTCTGCTCAGCTCTCTGAGGGTCCACCACAGCATCTCAGTCAGGCTGAGGTTCTGGACACTGACTGGTCCTTTCTGACCCGTTCTGTTGTAGATCAGCTGCTGTGTTTGGGATCATGGTTCTGTTGGACCCAGTTTGGTCCAAACTTCAGCTGTTGGCCAGAGTGACTCTCTGACTCCAGAACCTTTTGGTCTACAGAGTTCCTGGTCCACTCAGTGACTGACAGGAGCCCAAACCATCAGCCTCCACCACTGTGTTGACAGCTCGGAGGAGCCGTTTACTGCAGTGCATTCTGGGTTAACATCTGTCCTCTGGTCTGGTTCTGGTCCAGAAATCTTGTGGTTCCTTCAGATGAAACTTTCTAAACCCAAGTGGTGCTGCCATGTTGTTTTTAGAGAGAAAAGATCATGACCATTGACCTTTAACCTGCTAACCGAGGCCTGTAGAGTCACTGCATGGTCTGACCTTCGGGGTAAAATCAGTCAGCTGTCTCAAATATTCTCCATGTGTGAATAATCTTTCTCAAGAACGATGGACTTCAGACAGTTTGGAAATGACCTTTGACCCTTCCCAGATTGACAGGAAGCTACAGCTGCTTCTCTGAGGTCATTGCTGATGTCTTTCCACCCTGGTGTTGTGCCAACACACACTTGTAAGCTCCAGATCAGGGGTGGTCTCGCATGATCAGCAGCTCCTGATCCTGGACCTGTGGACACTGCGAGGCTGGAACCAGTTTTTGTTTTGGTTCAACAGAACCCGACCCGGTGGAATCCGTTTGTTTTTCTTCACTTCTTTCAGATTTGAATCATTTTAGAGGTCGTTGTGATCGAGTCTGGTGAAGCCCTGGGATTAAAAGAGGGTGGAGTCGTTTCCTCCCGACTGTCCGGGTCGTTCATTCTGGTCTTCAGCTGCGTCAGCGCAGCTTTAGTAGACCGTGAACACTTAAGGACGCCTGATTCCTCTCTCCCTGTAACGATCAGCTCCACGCTGGAGAGCGTTCACTCAGAGCTCAGCGCGAGAGAAAAGTTCGGCCAGCGGCCTCCTCCAAACAACCGGCGCCACTCGAGACCGATTCCAGCTGTCAGTCTGGAGCAGAAACGAGAAAAGGTGTGAGCAGACGTGGAAACGACGAGTTCAACTCGGCCGAAAACATCCGATCCAGTCGCTGCTTTTTATTTTTATTAAAAGGAATCTGCATTTAACTTCTACAAACATTTAGCTTCCTTTCAAATTCAAGTTCAACACGTCTGCCATGATTTGCAGCGAACTACTTAAACAAGCTTGTTCTGCAGGAATTAGACACAGCCGACGGGGAAAAGGTGGGGTACACTTGAGGGCATGTCCCAGCCAATCACAGAGTCACTGCCCTAACATGTGACCTGCTTTTGTTTTGAAAAGCCAATCAGGTTTTTTCCCAAACTTCCTGTTTTGGGAGCAGCGTTCTGGTTAGAGGCGAGGTCACCCTCCTCATTCCTCTGAGCACGTTTCACCGGTTCCTCCTCCAGCAGATGCACCTAACTGGGCCAGAAGATGCTCAAGCATCCTCTGCGCCTCCTTCGCAGCTATTTATACCGACCCACATCGAATCCGGTTCAGTCAGAACCGCTCTGATTTAGCACCGTTTTAGACGGGCGGGCGGCCTCGTGAGAGAAAACGAGTCAGGCCGCCTCAGAAAATAAGACCCGGCGCGCTGAGCGACAGAATATTTAGTTCAAGAAGAAAACTGTAAAACGTGACGTAAAATAGAAACGGAGCCGACGACGTCTCGGAGACGAGTCAGAGCTTTGGGTTGGACGTTCATGCAACAAAACGTTCGGCTCGATGGGGAGCAGAGTGGGTTTTCTAACTTTGATGCGTTTTAAAATGTTGAACTTTATTTTACATAAAATTCCTAATTGAAATATATTATAAATTTTTTAAAAACATTTTTCTCTTTAAAAACCTGCTTCAGTTACTGGTTCTGTTAAATTACCGATAACTTTTAGCTACTGTCACATTTAGCTTTTAGCTATAGTCCTGCTACTTTTAGCTATTAGCTTCAGATAATCACATTTTAACTTTTAGCTCGTTTTACTATTTTTTAGCTGTATTTCTGCTACTTTTGACTTTTAGCTAGCCTACTGTTTTGATAATATTAGCTGTAGTTTAGCTTATTTTAGTTACAGTACACACTTTGCCACACTTGGCTTTAAGCTCATGTTTTGCTGTATTTTTCTTTTTTTAGCTGTAGTTTTACTATTTTGGACTTTTAGCTAGCATATTGTTTTGATAATGTTAGTTGTAGTTTTGCTAGTGTTAGTTTTTAGCAGAAGTTCGGCGACTTTAGGTTTTAGCTAGCCTACTGTTTCGATGATAGCTTAATTTTGCATGTTTGGATCATTTTAGCTACTGTACTGCCACTTTAGCTTTAAGCTTCTGTTTTGAT